TTCGTTAATGGATTTAGAAGGTTATCAACCCTACATATCTCAACACCACTTAGAATAGGAAAAATCTCAGCTAAAAGAATGCTCGAAAGATGAGTCCCTTCATTTAATTTTCCTTATTTATAATGGTCTTAACACAAAAATTAAGACGTAGTTAATTATCGCAAATTGAATAGTCATGAATACCACAAACTTGTTTTAAAATTTTAGTTTCTCTTGTCCTTATCATATTTAGGGATATCAAGGAGCATGAGAATAGGAAAACTTTAATATGTATATTAAAAATGTGTCAGCATTAATCATAAAGATATCTCGCGGTCAACGTATAAGGTGATGTGGCATCTCGGGGCCCTCCAAAGATGTTCCAAGACCCCACGTCTAACCGACAAACTCTTGCGTACCGGTATGACAATATTTTGCAGACGAATAGAACTAGATTAGCTCCTAAAGAATATATATGACTAGACTTAAGCAAATGAATCCAGCGTCCTCACCTTGGATACACTGGGCGAAACACATCGTCCAGTTATAGAGTAAACAACATCGGTCTTAAACAAGCAACCTCTCGACCCAATGGCCCCCCAATTTCTTGTGGTCATGCATGTATAGACTAATAAACCCAAGGCATACCTATATAAATTGAGGGTACGATATCTAACTGCACAACCGATAATTTCTATAAATAGGTAGTTAATTTCATAAATAAAAGTTACACAAATTTACCGTTCTATATTGTGTTATTCCTCTCACTGTTCTCTCTTTCTACCTTTAGTGTTGTATTCCTTAGGCGTGACTCCCAGACAGTTTTGAATTGAACGAGGGCGTGCAAACACACATAGATATATATATATATATATATATATATATATGTATGTATATATAACAACCTTTATTAAAGGCAGATCTATCACTGATAATGTGCTGCTGGCTCATGGGTTGATTTTGGATTTGGATAAAATCAGTAGGGGGGCAATCTTATCTATAAAATTGATATCAAGAAGGCCTATGACACATTTGATTGAAGATCTATAAAATTGATATCAAGAAGGCCTATGACACATTTGATTGAAGATTTATCCTGGTGATTCTTACTGTTAGAGGGTTTCAAGCTGATTTCTGTAACCTTATTCATAGGTGGCTTATTAATAATAATCATTATGTCTTAATCAATGACAAGGCCTGGGATTCATTTTCAACTACTAGAGGTCTTAAGCAGGGAGACCCTCTCTCCCCCACAATCTTTATTCTGGCTATGGACTACTTTTCCAGAATGCTAGACAAGGTCATTCTCAATCAACAGTACTCCAGATATCATCACAAATCCATAATGCCTATATCTCATCTCTCTAGTGCCCATAAAAATGCAGTCAAGAGAATTCATCAATGTTTGAAGGAGTTCCAAAGAAACTCTGGGATGGTGTTTTTCCCAGGAAAATGCAAACTGATTTTTAACAAAAGATCATCATCCATTTGTAAATAGTTGGTATCTGAATACACAGGTTTTTCTATTGCAAAAGCTCCTTTTAAATAATTGGGGCTTCAACTCATTTGGGGGAGGCCCAAATTAATCCAAATTGATGAAGTCTTCCAGAAGATTCAAAACCATTTATCTAGTTGGTCTCACTCATTCCTATCTAATCGGGGCACAATCACTCTTCTTAAGAGCATTTTAACTACTTTCCCATCTTACATTCTCCAAACCACATACATGAAGAAAAGTACTCAAATGCAGTTGGAAAGAGTATTCAACAGGTTTTTGTGGGCAGGTCAAAGGCAGTAGCTCCACTGGGCATCTTGGCAAAAGGCTGCTAAACCCACCATGGCTAGTGGAATTGGTTTCCAGGGACTCCAACCACTACTCATCCAAATCAACTTCTGAAAAATGTGGATAAATTTCAGAGCTCAACCTCCCTTTGGACTAAGTACATGAAGGGTAAATATTGCAAGGGACAACACCCCTCTCTCATCACCAAGAGACTGGGTGACTTTAGAATTTGGACTAATATGCGCAAAATCAGACATCTTACTGAGGATATGTACCTTTGGGATTTGGGGAATGGTCGGGTGAATTTTTGGATGGACCATTGGTGCCCCAAAGATTGGCTTGGGGTTCCCCCCACTAATTTCAACCCCCATCTCACTGTGTCTGATTTCTGGGAGGGAGATTCCTGGTCTATTTCTAAGCTCCAATCTATTTTGCAGGAGCCTCAGCTCTCTCAAATTTCTAAATTCAATTTTGATAAGAGCATAAATGACAGAATTATTTGGCACAGTTCTGTCAACCAATGCTTGACCAAAGCCATCTATGCCAAAATTTGTTGTTGGGATTTTGTCCCTTGGGGTGAAGCCATTTGGAACAAATTCCTTTCCCCTTCTATGTCCTTCTTCTGTTGGAGAATCTTCAACATTTTATTACCTACTGATGACATACTAAAACTGAAGGGTTTGAGGTGGGCATCTAGATACTATCTTTGCCTAAAGGATGAGGAGAACAGTAATCATCTTTTCTTTAACTGCCAGTTTGCTCAAGTAGTTTGGAAAGAGTTTGTAACCATAATTAAGGTTGATGGCCTTCCAATGGATTGGTCTAGTCTCAAAGGTGGATGGCATAGTTGGAAAAGAAGTAAATGTGAAGCCATCCCCTTTATGGTTTACTGGTTTCTTTGGATGAACAAAAATAGCACTAAACATGAAGACAAACACAATCATCATTCCAAGGTTACCAGAAACCGTGCTTCTTGCTTTATCAACTTGGTTCAGTTTAACAACTTCCCTAATATTTGTAAATCTCAGTCCATAATGACCAGAGACTACTACAAGACTGAGAAGATTATTTGGAAATCTCCTTAACAACATACTATAAAGATTAACATTGATGGAAGCTTCTCTGAGTATGGTGCTGAGGTAGGGGGTGTATTCAGGGATTCTTGTAGCAAATGCTTGTTGTATTTCCATGCCCCTACTGAGGCTGAAGATGCAGTAGAACCATAACTCATTGCGTTTTCTTTGCCTTAAAAGCTGCTTGGTATAAACTTTGGATTGAGGTGGACTCTCTACAACTCATCAACTTTCTGAATTCTGAACAGCTGTCCTCTTGGCACCACCTACTTTGGAAGCAGAAAATTTGGAACCTTAAAAAGTCCATTAACCCCAATTTAACTTTTATCCACAAAGAAGGTAACCAACCTGCTAATTGGCTAGCCAGATATGGACTTTACACTAATTCGATATCTGCTGCTACCAAGCCCCCTTCTCCTCTTGCTCTCCTACTTTATGGTGATACAATGGAGACTCCACACCTCAGAACTAAAGTCAAGCATCTCAATGGTCTCTAGCTTTTGGTTTTCTCTCCCATAGTTTCTGTTATTGTTGTTTTTCTATTGTAGCTTAATTTGCTTATATATATACCTTCACATTGTGATAGATATATATAAATCTTGTTTTCCTTTTCTTTTCCCCTTTTGGTAGGGCTTGGTGTTGAGGCCCCTCCCATAGGTTAAATTTTTGTTTTTTGTTGTCTTTTGGTTTTTCTAGTTAGAGGGCCTCCCAAGGTTAGTCTTTTGTACCCTTTTATTATGTAACATGCAGGGAGCCGTATAATGCTTCTTTAACAAAAAAAAAACAAATATATATATATATATATATAAAGAGAGAGAGAGAGAGAAAGCCCTATTAAAATCAGCAAAAGGTTATAATTCAATCATGGGGAAGAGCAAGAAGGCCCCCCTTAAGCAAAAGGGAGAGAGGAGGGGGGTGTGGGGGGTAGAAGATACAACAACATGATCCGTACTACATCCAAATTTCAGAAATAAATGTATCTATATATATATCGGATTCATTTT